CTCAAACCCAAACTGTCGCATGACTCTATCAGGCAAATGAAGCTCAACAATGTCAAAACATATCAGCGGCACACGTGCTCGCCATATGTGAGTCTGCTCTCGTCCAGCTGGGGGCAACTCTGCTAACATATCAGGTCTATACGGCATCCATGTGATCTGTTTCGTAAACATACAAAATTAGTATTTATTCTACACCTATTCTAGTTACTGTTATACTACACACACCATACCTGGTCCTCTGACATCCGATCCAATGCATCCCTGTACACACCGAGGCCAGTAGCGGATGACATGCGAGATAAACCAGCATATAGCCACCTAACCATTAATGTTACAATATCAATAATATGGATTTTATTAATGCATTTACATTCAACAAAAACTAACACAAATACAAACGATTGAAAACATACCGACGGCCTAGAGGGTCCACGCCCCGTACATGATGTGGTCCTAGCAGACGTGGAGGCTCATCAGGCAGTGGCTGTCCATCAATGCCATGATATCCAACTATAATGGGACGGCCAATGTGGATATACTCCCATGACCAAATCTGGAGGAGTAGCAAAAATCCCCCCAGCTCTGTGCTCCCTCTCTGGCACCCGCGACACAGCTGCCTGTAGAGATAAGCCAGGGTGGCACTACCCCAGCTAAACTGTGCTGCTACATCAAACCTCTCCAGCAAAGGCAGGTGTAGCACCTGAACCTCATTTCCGCTCTTGTCAGCGAAAATGGAGGCTCCCATCATCATCAATATATACGCCCGAGCATGCTGCTGGATGATCATCTCATCAGCTTCGGGAGGGAGGGCCTGGAAGTGCTCCCTCAACCATGGCATCCTAAGAGATGACCCCTGAAGGTCAGCCCTAAGAACGGGGCGGATGCCTAACAACCTCTCACACTCATCCACCCACTGTCGACAAGCAGTGCCTGTAACAGCTCTCCCATCAACCTCTAACCCAGTCAGTACAGCCACATCTCCCAATGTCACGGTGACCTCACCAACAGGGAGGTGAAATGAATGTGTCTCCTGCCTCCAACGCTCAAGTAGAGCAGTGAGGAGGGCTCTATCTAAAGGCACAGTAGCCACTAACCTGTGCAGTGTAAAAAAACCTGCTGCACGAACATATGCTAGGACTTTGGGGTCGACATGTAAATGGGACAAACCCCGCAGATGCTCGCGGCACCTATCAACCTGCACATCCATGCCAAGCCAAACATCCTCACTCCTGTGTGAGGCCTGCAGTGTCAGGACAGAAGGATCACTCGGCCCAGGATCCGCTATCACCTCCATGCCTACAAACAAAATTTGTATTAGTTATAATTGTATTAGTTGTAATTGTATAATGTATTACATTTTTTTTAACTTCCTTTTTTGAATTTATTAATTTTCCTTGCAAGGAAATAATGAATTATGATTGACTCTAAATATACACATACCCGGCGGACCCCCCCTCTTGTCTAGATGATCTCTTTGCACATGTCGCTCTATTATGGCCGGTTTGGTGGCATCTTCCACATCTAACCGTTCCTCGTGGGCCTTCATCCATCTCATTCTTAATACGGGTCGACTTTGGTCTTCCCTTTGCCCGAAGCATGGATGGATCGTGCACGATTTCGGGTCCATTGTAATTTGGCCAATAATCACGATCAGGAATCGGTTTGAAAACCCTATGATACGTGGCGGCGTATTGGTCAGAAGAGAAGAACTTATCCACAAATGGAGCATAAGACAAACTACGTTGTCTACACACGGCTAATACATGGGAGCAAGGAATCTTGTATATCTCCATCTTTTTGCAAGTGCACGTTTTCCGTTGTAGATGGACAGTTTGTTTTCTCCCACCCTTTCCCAACGTTCTGCCACCACAACCGGTCTCCACCTGAAATATACCTCGCCCTAAATCAAAAGGAGTGACAATGTGATGCTTTGCCTTCTCTCTATTTTTTTCAATTAAATCTGTGATGTATGGGGAGTACTCGTGGCCTTGTGTGAGCCTCAACTTACTAGTTTCACGCCTATTCACAAAGTACGCATTAACCCGGTAAAAAGACACCTGGACCAAGGCTGTAATGGGCAAATATCTAGCATTTTTCATGACGCTATTGAAAACCTCAGCCAGATTTGAAGTGATGGTACCGTATCTGTACCCGCCATCATGGTGTAGCGACCACATTTCTGGAGGAATGTTGGCCAAAAATTGTCGTGCATCCCTACTCATTTCACCTATCTTCTTGAACCCACCATCAAATTTTTTTTTCTGATGTTGACGTGCGGTCCACACAAATAGATTTTTTAAATGAATGTCTTTGAAATGAGTGTGCACATTTGAAGCAAGATGACGGATGCATAGCCTATGATGCGCATAAGGCTCCTCCCAATTACTTCCAACCTCATTCATTGCCCTAACAATACCTCCATGTCTATCTGAAATGACACACAACTCCCTGTTAGTCACAAAATGCCTAATACATGCCATAAACCATGGCCAACTGTCTCCATTCTCGGATTCAACAACTGCAAAGGCGACTGGGAAAATTTGGTTGTTCGCATCACAACCCATGGCCACGAGCAATGTGCCCTTGTACTTTCCATACATGTGTGTGCCATCAATAGTAAGTACGGGTCGACAATGCTTAAAACCATGTATTGATGCCTTGAATGCCCAAAAAACTCTTTGAAACATCATATAACCTGTCGCACCATTGGGGGGTGGGTACCACTGAACAACAGTTCCTGGATTAGAATGTTGGAGCGCTGTCATGAAACGGGGCAATTCGAAATATGACTTTTCCCAACCGCCAAATATTTGTGCTATGGCCTTTTGCTTCCCCATCCATGTTCTCCGGTAAGATACCGTATACCCATATTTTTCCTTCAACATCTCGATGATAGTATGCACTTTAAGAGAAGGATCAGTGCGAATAATGTCAACCACATCTTTACAGATGAATTCTGATGTCAAGGCCACGTGATCTGTAGTGTCGATGTTGCCTACACAAGAAGCAGAATGAGGTCCAGAATAACGCACAATTGTGAAGGTGTCAAGGTTGCCTTTGTTCTTTGTGGCGCGTATTCTCCAGGGGCATTGACATTCTTTCTTCCTTTTGCATTGTGCCACCCATTTGTGTTTGTCGGACTCTATCACCCGATAGAATTGGTTCCGTTTGATAGAATACAAGCTCACCATATTGATGACTTGTTCTTTGTTGTCAAACTGTTGACCGACCTCAAACTCACCATCGGGGGTAAACCTTTTCTCACCTGATCCACTCATCCACGCATCAGTAAAACCTTCAGGGAGATCATACATTCTAGTGAAGTGGCTAGACGGGGCAGTTGATGTCACAGTATCACCATCATCTTCATCAGATTCTGTCATGTCGTCACCATTGATGTTCTCGTCTGCATCATCATCACTTCCCTGCCCATCCACAAATGATGCACCGTTGTGCAAATACATGCCATCCTCCTGTATAACCATGTCTAGTACAGGAACCTTTGACGACTTCCCTGCATTCACCCCTGCAATGACATCATGCCTAGATACACCAGCATTTGATGTCGATTGAGTAGCATTAGCGTCAAAGCATTCCTCAATGTATACCTCCAGCGACGACATATCCTCCATCTGAATTATGCCCCACATATTTGTTATGGCTAGCTCATCAATGAGCGGCATAAGCATGTACTTTCCCCCGTTCATGGGAAATTTCATTTTCAACCGCAATGAACGGCCGGGATGAATCATTGTCGCTGCATGTATTTTTTGAAGGATCTCGACCATGCAAGCGCCACGAGAAACCATGACAAAGCTCGTTCTGCCACCTTCATGGCATATTTGCCCACCATTCTCATAATAGTTCCCTCCCCAATGACACACGAGTGGGAAGCTTGAGAAATCCATCTTCTAATAACAACTCATTGTCCAACATTCATGAGTAGGCATCAATATACACACTTTATACACATTCACATTTTTAATAGAAATTGCTTCCAAAATTGTAATATATCATTAACTCCAAATTCACAAACAATTCACATTTCAATAACAAACTACCCAAATTTTGATATCTACATTCAATGTCTACCTTTGAATACCCAAATTTAGGTACATTCAACTATACCCAAATGCTCAAATGTCAAAATACACATTACAATTTACAAACAATTTAAAATCATATTTCAACATTTCATACATATTCACATTTGACAACAACTTCATTCACAATCAATTCATAATCCCAAAATTAAAAAAAAAATTAACATTCTAAACCCTAAGTGCAAAATTATATGAAATGGATTTGGATTTACCTAGAATAAGGAGTAAAGAGTGATGAAGATGAAGATGGAGGGTTGCCGGAGTGGAGTCGCCGGAGATGGAGGAGCGCCGGAGTTGGAGATGGCGGTTCGTCCGTCTTCTTCTTCGTCCGTCGCAGCAGCTACTTTCAGTTGGGGGAGGCTTCTGTGAAGTGTTCTGTTTGGGGCGAGACCCGATTTTTACTTAAGGGTAAGTCGCCCAACGGTTGGGCGACTTATAAGTCGCCAAACGGTTTGGCGACTTATAAGTCGCCCAACCGTTGGGCGACTTACCCCCGACCATGGTTAACCCAGCAGTATTTTGGTAAATACTTTTAACCCAACCCTATTTTCGTAATTAATTAATTAATTAACATTAATACGGAAAAAAACTCAATTTTATACTTGTAATACGATAAATCGATTCCCATTAATTTTTTTTGGAAAGAAATATTTGGTGCTTGGATTATAAAAAAAAATTGGAACAATTTCTACTGAAAAATACTTGGTATACACATTTTTATGTACACTTTTTTGTACATTTGTCTGTCTCACGCAGATAGATTTATTTATCTACAGACAAGTTGTATGTGAACAGACAATTTTGTGTGCGTGAGATAGACAAGTGTACTACATGTAGCCCAACTCATTTCTACCCTACAGCTTTGGAATCGGAGAATCCGACATATATGGTCAGTCTGAGACACTGAAATACTGAATTCCTTACCTGGAGGCCCCCATTCCTACACGTCTGACCACCTGGGTAACCCAAACCTGGAATGCAAAGACTGCCATACCTCTAGAACTGCACAATTAACTGGCCGTAGTTGAGTCAATGTAACCACACCCTTGAACCCTAGTCCCCATACATTGAGATTCTCCATCATTTTCCTTCTCATTTTTTCACTGTCTAGCTGACCCCAGCTCATCTGTTCTTCTCAACACCTCCTTACAGCAGAGGACAAGTAATTTTCACATATCTTTATTTATTTATTTGGTAAATTTCACATTTCTTTATTAAGGGATATTATGTAAAAATGTTTTAAGTAGACATCTCATATATATCTGTAGGTTTTGGATGATATAGTAATTATGTGAAAATAGATATATTTTTCATTTTTTTAATATAATCTATATTTCCACAGTTGACTGTGGTGAAGCATGTGGGCAACAGGAAATATGTAGGCTAAAGTGCCTTTTTTCTTTTGACGCATACGTACAGTTTTTTTCATTTCAAAATTTCTTTTCATTTGGAATTCGACGGTGGAAATTAATGTTTGGGTTTTTCTTTGATTATCTTTTGCTTTTTGCTGGTTCAAAGGGTGTGGTTGTATTTTCAAATAATAAAAAGAGTAATGATTGTTTTACGTGGAGGTTTCTGTCACGTGTCATTATTAGTTGCGTTTTTTTCTTAATGAAGGGATTACTAATATCAAAAAGCTTCAAAGATTAGATTTTTATTTCTGGGTAAGAAGATGAAAGTCCAAAGATTGGATTTTTATTTCTGGGTAAGAACTTGAAAGTCCAAAAATTGGATTTTTCTTTTCTGGGTAAAGAAGTTAATATTTCGAAAATTGCATTTTATTTATGATGGGGAATAAGAAGATTGTGAAGAAGACAAAGGAGATATCTTCAATGAGTGGGGAGTTTCAGCAGCAGCAGGGTCCAAGAAAGAGAGGCAGGCCAAGGAAAATTGTTCCCAAAGCTGAAGGTGATGAAGTGGTTAATCATAGAGATGCAGAAGAAGAGGTTGTAGAGGGTGAAACTAAAAGGGCCAAAATCAGTGGTGGAGAAAAAGGTGAAGAATCAGAAGATAAAGAGGAAATAGGTGAAGGGGTTGCTGGTTCATCTTCATTACTATTACCATCATCACAGAAACTGCAGCCTAGGAGAAGAGCCAGAAGAAAAGGCAAGCCAAGAAAGAGCTGCTAAAAATCAAAGGAACCCTACTTGCTTTTTTATTTTGTTTTTCATGGGTGACTGCTAGTAACTCAGTAATCACACTAAAAAAAAGTAAAGATTAATGGGTAATAATGTTTTCCTTCTTATTTCTGTCATTCCCTATTTACAAAACTTTCTGCTTTCTAATATTTTGATTTCCCATCACTTTTTTGTCACTTCATTGGTCGGGATGATTGATTTGTGGCCTTGTTTTGATCTTATTTCAATGCCCGTAAGCATTCTGCTCAAGGTTAGAACCTAAAGTCCCATGGCATAATTAGTGCTCCCTATGTAGTACTGTATTTGAGTATTTCAGATAGTAAGATCTGGATTTGCCTTTTATTGCTACATTTACTAGAATGGGTTTCTATTGAAATGGGGTATTAACATTTTTGTTAATACCGCTAAGGTTTGGATCGGTAAGCTAATATATATATATCTGAGAAAACTTCATGTCAGGCCGGCCTGACGGGCTGCCCCGTCCGGCCGAGCCCGTTTGGGCACTTTCCCGGTGGAATTTTTTGATGAAATTTTTTTATCATGTTCCTCATCAAGTCTAGTTTGTCCATACCAAATTTCAGCCCAAACTTCAATCGGGAAGGTCGTCAAATGATTTTTGCAAGTTAACTGGTCCGGAATATGTATTTTCCGGACCAGTTAACTTGCAAAAATCATTTGACGACCTTCCCGATCGAATTTTGAGCTGAAATTTGGTATGAACAAACTAGACTTGACGAGGAACATGCTCAAAAAATTTCATCAAAAAATTCCACCGGGAAGGTGCCCAAACGGGCTCGGCCGGACGGGGCAGCCCGTCAGGCCGGCCTGACATGAAGAGCACTCTATATATCTATAGTTAACACTGAGCTAATTATTTTGTTCTTTTAATTATGTGATAAGCTAAGTTGCTTTTCTGATTGAATTTGATAAATAGGACCTGTACCTTTTATTCATATAATCTTTTCTTCATTTTATTAATAAAATGCATCTAGGCATCCTCAATCCACTTATCACTTGTGGGATATATTACACTAATGATCTTTAGTAAGGATTCTAAAGAGTAAAGTGTAGAGTAGCTAAAATGAGTAAATTCATTGCAAGACCAAACCCAAAATGCTTCGTAACTCTGCTTAAAAATCTCAACATTCAAAGTTTTGGAGCAAGTATGATGAATGCAATCTATCAACGAGCATAAAGTGACGAGAGAATCTGAGATAGGCTATATATGCTTAGAGCATCACCAATGGTAGAATGTGCACGGTGCACATGTGACATAAGAGATAGCCACATAAATATTAACAAATAAATTATCTCTCTCCTTATTTGAATGATTTTATACAATTTTGGTATGTTTTTTCCTGCAATGTCAATTGCAATGTCAAATCTAGACAGTCCCCTTGACATTGTGGAGAAAAACTTACCAAAACTGAAAAAAATCATTCAAATAAGGAGAGAAATAATTTATTTTGTACTCCCTCCGTCCCGCTAAGATTGTCCCATTTTACCTTTTCGGGAAGTCCCATTAAGATTGTCCCATACCAAATTTGGTAAAGATTGTAAAGCTTCAAACTATTCTTACTTTATTCTTACTTTATCAATTTAATATCAACCACACAAGTCACAAACCCACTTTTCTTAATAATTGTGCCACCTTCTTCCGTCCCAATCTTAGTGGGACGGAGGTAGTAGTATTTATATGGTTATCTCTCATGCCACATGTGCACCGTGCACATTCTACCATTGAAGATGCTCTTATTTCGTTGTTGCGGACAGCGAATTATAAGATTTGAGAAAACTTGCTAACTCTACTACACTACCCTATATATAAGTTAGTGTTACTAATTAAAAGTAAATCTGACTTTAAGTTAGTACTGCAATTTTTCTATTTTATAGTCTTATCTGTTTAAGTTAATATGATAAGATCCTTGGTATTATACATATTTTACTAGGAATATTGGATACTGCATTCCCTTTTAAAATCATTGCACTCCCTTCAAAAATTGTGGTGCATATATGGTACAAAATCATTTAAATGTGTAGTGAATTGAGATGCATATATTAATGATTTTGAAAATATGGTACAAAATCAAATAGTAGTATCACTTAACAAATTCTCTCATTTTACTATTGTCTATAGTCTATTGAGTCTTGTATGTTCAGTTTAAGACTAAAACTAGTCCGGTCTTAGACCGTAACTCATTTAAGTGGAAACATCACAAAAACATCTTAAATGATATTCCATAATAACCTATTTAAATATGTATGAAAATAATACGTAGTATATGCAATATATATTTAAGAGCATTTTCAATACTACAATATGCACAATACATATGTGTCATGAGAGAGATAAACACATAAAAATAAATTATTGACATTTTTCTCTCCTTCTTTGCACAGTTTGATATAATTTTGGTAATAATGTTAATTAGAATATCTACCACAAGACATTTTTTTTAATATTGTGGAGATCAACATATCAAAAACATATACTCCTATTTTAATTCAGATAAGGAGAAAAATATTTTCCTCACTAATATTTGTGTATACATCCCTCTCATCACATATTTAAGATGTTTTTGTGATACGTTATTATTAGTTACGGTCTAAGACCGGACTATTCACATGAATATTTGATGTCACCTTATTTTTACTCCTAATCTGGGAAGCCTTTCAATATTGGAATTTGGAATTGCTGTTTTTCTCCAACAAAAACTAGTACTCCCCGCATTACTTTATCAAACATTATCTTCATTTTTTCAAAAGGGCGTCCATATGCTTTTTGGAATACATTTAAATTGTTTGGCTAAAATTATAATTTCTAAAGGTGGTAGTATTTTCAGAATAGGGAATACTTGATACGGAGTATTTTTTTGAAAATCATTATGAATTACACACTTTTATAAACTATATACTACAAGTTCTATCTAACAGCAATAAGAAAATTTGAATATGATTAGAAAACGACACAAAATCAGAAAATAAAAAGAGCTTACATTGGCAAGTAAAATGGCAAACCTTTTAGGGATTGAGTAAGTAATGCTATAAGTAATGCTAAAGGGAAGTAAAAGTAAAATGGTTCTCAGCTAGGAGTAGATCTGTTGTGATGTCTCTCTTTCTTGAAACGAGATTGGTCAGGATCAAAACCGCCTTCTTGGGCTCCATACACGGCCCATGATGGTGTGGGAGCCATGTAATCTCTACTGCTAAATGGCTTTCCCAAAGCAACCTGAAGGAAGGCCAAGATTTGATAAGCCGAAGATGAAGAAGATTGCACATTAATGACTAGTGGGAGAAAAAATTAAACGAACCAGATCGTGAAACTTGTCATAGTCTATCCACGTGAACCACTGGCCATTGATCTTAAACTGGTCGACTTTCGCTAGTAGAACACAGCAAGAATGCACATGCTCACATGCAACTTCATACTCCCCCTTGCTTTTCTTTGCCAGCGCTTCTGAAAACTCCTTCACATCCTTATGCCATGGCACATTTTCCATAGTCAACTTTGATGTAGCAGACCTGCATCAAATAATACATGCATGCATGTGTTTAACCATATTTGAGATGAAAGATGGTAAACTATTCTCCCTACAAGAAAAAAAACACTTACGTTCCACAGTAAGTGACGCCTTTGATCTCAATGAAATCAGGATTTCCAACGCTGAAGAGGTTAGAGTAGGCGTCTACATCTTCTGTGTTCCACCCTTTAACTAGTGTCAACCTGTACACAGTCCGTTGTTGCTTTTCCTTAAGAGCTTTCAAGGAATCCTACAATGCAATCCTGGCTTAGAAACATCACCAGGTGACAGACATGAAATTGATCTCTTCGTACAATCTGTCTTATATTCACATGATGAAAGGCCAGTAAATACTATTGAGGGCAGGTATCATGTACTATCATTTTCATTTACTATGTTGGAAGCAAAACCATTACTACGTATAAAACAGAAGTCTTATTTTTAATGCTGTTTATAGGGTTAGAGACTTTGCAGCAGAACTCTTTTTAGAACGAGTGATGTAGTATCACATTCTAACCATCCAATAGTCTAAGGTCTTGTGTGTTTTGTATTTAGCCGATGAAAATCACTTAAGAGTTAGGATGCACATGCAAAATAGTGACTCATTAGGAGTTTACCATCCTCCAGTTTCATAAAAAGATTTGGATTTCATCCTAAAAGATCTCAAACTGAAATGATGGATCCAAAAAAAGTCAACTTCAAATGAAGATCCTACAAGGTTAACCTGAAATGATGACTAACACAACATCTAATATGGTCTCGCAGTCTATAAAGCTCTAACGAGTAACTCGATCACAAACCACATCAAAGATAGACTTAATTATTGATTTTTTTTCAACTAACACCAATCTTATAGAGCATGCTGACTCAACCCAAACTGACCAAATGGTCCAAATATGAAGATATTACATAACATATAATGCCTTGGATTACTTCTATTAAGTTAAGCTTTAAAGAGACTCCAAATCGTAAAACTATTCAGCTCACTTTGGTACGTAATGATGACTATTGTACAACTCATAAGTTGTGATGACCTGTCACTTTGAGGGAGTGTATTTGACTATTTGGTACTTTCAAGGGAAAGTTGTCAAAGTGGAACTTAATTCACGTTCTTCTATTAGAAGCCATATGTTATTTCCTTCAAAAATGTGTTTGATTGCCCATAAATTGTACTTCCCAAGTAAAATGGGGGATCAGGCCACGTCTTTGGCACAAAGAAACAATACTTCACAGCCAATCCTAAACAGAGCGTAAAATATTTCTCAACTTGTGTAGCAGACCTATCTCTAACAGAAGTAAAAGGAAATACTAAAAACTTGAGAAAATATATAGGAGTTGTTTGGTTTAGGGATTTGGAGGAAGGGGGAGGAGTGATTTTTATTTTTGAAATCATTTCTATATTTAGATGGTTGGAGATAAAGTGATTATAAAAAACTATTTAGAAATGCATGATCTATCCATTGAGATATTAATAGTAATTTCCAATCTAGCACTAATAAACACAGGTAGATTATAGTAAAATAAAAGTCAATCCTGCATCCCGTTCCCTGTTAAAAATCCCTGAACCAAAATTACCAAACAAACAATTAGTCAAACCAAGTAAGGTACCACTACTCACAACAAAACGCTCCCAGAAATCTCCAAATAGTGGTCTATCAATTGCTTTCAAACTATCCTTTGTGGCTGCATCAACGCTAACATACAACTGCATAGTTTAAAGGAAGCAATATAAGATTCACATATGAAATGGCCATAGCATACCAAACTTAAGAACAAACAGAAGGGTGAGAATGGATGATAAGTCAATCATTGTGTGTAT